CCTGGCATCGCTACTAGGAGCAAGGACGCTACTAGGGGCTCCTGGCCTTACTACTAGGAGCAAGAAGCTACTAGTTAAGTTTCCCTAAAAATCTAGGAACCAAATGAATTTTTGCGAGCGCTTCTTCAAAGAAGCTCCCTACCTACCTCTAGCTACTACCTACCTCTACCTCTACACCGCCTACCCCCCAAAAGAAACAGAAACAAAGGCATCGTGTGCTGAAATTCAGAGGCCTTTGTTGGGCTTCAGCTGATGGGACTGGTTGTGAAGAGCGACACTACTTTGGTCGTGTCTAGACTGCACTGGTCCTCCCAATGCATCTATTGCTCATCTATGATTTCAAGTTCTCGAACAAAGTACCCCTTGTCACTTGACATTGTATTGACAGGAGTTTCATATGATAGTCGCAAGATGTACATTAGTGGGGTGGATCAAGGCCAGACTGGGGAATATTTAGAGACGATTGGTAGCAGAAATAGGAACTTGATCGCATCAGCCAAGGCACTTGGTGATTTGTCACAGCCCAATTTGTGGCAACAGTGGCATGCTTGATTAGAATACAAGTGACGCTTCAGCAGAGTAGGTTGAAAGATTAAAAGAGATTGTATGCCTTGGCAGGTTGGCCTTCACCGCAACATTGCTTGTTGCTGGCCTTTTGATCAGAAAGGTCACTGGGGCACTGCTCCTAGGCTGGGTCTGACTACCGCAGTGTGTGGTGTGCAGCACATGGTCTTCCTTGTGACAAGTTTCCAGCTGCCAGGAATTTGTTTCACTGCAGCAGCCTCATACCTTCTTGGTTTGCCCAATCCGAACCAGGTGCATTTCTGACGGCTCTGACGCAGCAAAACTCTGGTTGGGTGTTGGATATCGCAGATCAACCCACGTTGTGAAAGTATCATGCAACTTAGCAAGACGCTTATAAGGCTTGGAGTTTTTGTTTTGATCTTTTGCTGTATGTCTGTGTCCTTGCAAGGATCCATCCGGTAGTCTTTCAGCTGGTTTTGAGCTCAGTCCTCTTTTTGTACGAAAACCACTTTGTTTGTTTGGTGGTAAACTTGTTTCGAGAGCAACCGTGACTGTGTTTTCCGCTACAATTCACAACTTGTTTTCGTTGAGATCCGCTTTGTGCTGTGCCAACTTATGAAGCTTGTGAGATGTCTAGTGTGATAGCGCGCAAGGGAAATGAGAAGGCTGAAACTATCAGTTGATACTGTAAGTTTCTGGTGAATGTCAAGTAAGTTCAGATGGTTATATACATTAGACTGAGTAACATATCATTGGTAATCATATCCATGAAATCTATGTCCGGCCACAAGATAGCTTGGTGGTAAATGGTTGCCCAAATCCCTGCCTGCTGAGTCCTTGTTTCCAATCCGTAGCCAGCACTTGAAGCCGTAGAACAGTTGAAGATTGGCATGGTTCATTTTCAATCGGCCCTGGTTTCATCTGAGAACGAGATGGGGGTCACATCAAGCAACCCGACACTTGCTCACTTGTGACCAGGGATAATTTCTTAGCAGGTATGTGATCAAGGTTCAATGAAAGCGCTCTACGTGTGGTGATCTACCCTTCGTACAAATCTAAGCTTTGTTGTAGAGCTGACTTTGGGACAAGCATTGAAGAATTCTTGGAATGTGTAGGACGCTCAAGTGGTACGTATTGCGTTTGCGCTTTTGTTCCCTTCCCTTTTGAAGTGCTGCCTAATACTAAACGCTTTCTCGGCATATTGTTGGGAATAGTAAGGATTGCTTTGTTGTTTGAAAGGAAATGGACAAATGCAAAGCGATGTGCTTCAGGAAGCAGCTAATGCAGGTCAACGTTTCCCCAACACGAACACCAATGGACAGACTTTGACAACCGCTGATATCCCCTGCTCACAAGTCCTGCAGGTCGCAAACCTATGGTTTGCAGTATTATCCAACTTCTTCCCAATGTAACATGTTTTTGGTCAACCAGAGTCCTCCAAGAAAGCTTCTTTTAGCAAGCTTCCTGGTGCCTCTATCCCCTTTTCCCCCAGAAGACTGTTTTTGTACTCATGATGCAACCAAGTTTATCAAGGCCAACCCTCTCCCACGCCACTCATCCAATGCAGCAATCAATTGCAAAGCAGACCGTAGGGCCTTGTTTTCTCAACAAGACATCTATTCGACAGAAGCTAACAACAGCAAGCAATTTGCACGTCAGGATGTGAAGCAAGTAGTGAATCAGACGTGTAGTTTCTTTTGGGTAAGCACCAATGTACCTCAAGGCGCGGACCTTCCACGCGTCTTTGACTTGGACTTCACTCCGATGTTGGAGAAGCCTCAGGCTGTCATGGGGTCTCAAGCAAGTGAGCAAGAGCATGACTTGATGATGGACATTGGACCGTGAACACATGACGCAGTTGTATCAAATTTGACTTTCTCATTGTGAAGGAATTTGGGACTGCGGTGTTGTGCCTCCTTTTCATCGTTGTCTTTGACACAGCAGGCGTATCCACCTTAGCTTCCCAGTTTGAGGGAAGAGGACTAGGCAGTGTCATGGGAATGTGTTGAGGTGCAGCATGGCATTGGTCAGCAGGCCTCACGGTCTACAGATTGTACAGTTTCACGCTTGGCTTTGATGAGGGTTTGCAATGGCCAGGCCGGGCTGCTGGACAGACATGGCTTTCTCCCTGGAGCAAAGAGTTTTCCTCAGAGGGTCTTTTCTCTGACGGAAGATAGCTGAAGCTAGCTGTGCCTATGCCTATGGCCATGTTCAGTTGAACATGTACGTGCTTGCGTGTATTCAACTTTGTTAAGCCAGCCATGGTGTACATCCCTCCCACCGACTAGTTTTGTGGATTGAGTTGATACAGGCTAGGGGAAAGGAATTCAGTCTGTTTTGCTCTATTCTAGTGAGGACCCTAAATCAGAGCACAACCCAGCCGTTTGGGGAAACTGCAATGACTTGTTTGTGCATCACTTGGTATTATAAAACACAGCAACAGGGAAGCGCGTGTGTTCATATTGAACGGCTGCTACTATGATGAAGAAGCAAGATCTGCTACCTCACTTAGTTTGGTGTGTCTTCCACATGATCCTTTTGGCCATTTTCTTGGATTCTGCCATTAGGTATGGATACCTGGGAAGTGCTTTTGGCACTGGCTTGGGTGCCGTTATGGGCACCAGTCCAGCAGAAAGCTTGGTAGTCATTGTAGCCTTGAGCCCGCTCAGTCTTGAGCGGTTTGGCGTGTTCAAGGTCATAATCCACAATGAGTCTGCAGCTGGTGTTCAAGAAGGTGGTCGAACTGGGACCCTGCCTCAAATGAAGGTTAAGCATCCGCATTGGTGTAACATGACGCAACAATTTTCTACGCGTTTCCAAGTTTGCCCCCAGCACAGTGTAGGCGGTTCTGACAGCGGCACAGTGCTTCACTGAGGCTCTGTGCTATGACCACGGCAGTGCTCTTTCTCCTCTCGCCGGTCCTGGTGCCAGTGATCGAACTCATTCCACCAGAGGCCTTTTTGTTCTAATGGCTTCTCGTTCCTAGTAGCGAGGCCAGGAGCCCCTAGTAGCGTCCTTCATCCGGGGTAGGCCGCTAGTAGAGGTATATAGTAGCTAGAGATAGCAAGTAGTAGTAGCTAGGTAGCTACTAGTATGGACGCAGGATAGCTCACTCTTCTTCAAGGAAGCTCCCCGGCCGCCCTTCCTTGAAGAAGCGCTTGCAAAAATTCATTTGGTTCCGAGATTCTTGGGGAAACTTATATTACTATATATAGTTTCAAATTGCACATTTTCATATTGCCACGAGATCTCACATTTCGCAGCTCAAGCAGGCAACTGCACCATGCCTAGTGCTGGTTGGCAGCATGATGATGGGTCCTGTGGGACTCCAAGTCTTGTAAGGAGTTGGTCATGGTTCACCTGCAGAACCAGCAGCAAAAGCATCGCTTGGACCAACACTGGTGATTGCAAGGTCAAAGACATAGACTTCGGCGACTTGCGAATTGCGCTTCCGGCTTTCCTCACGATTTGTATTACGCCCTTGGCGCATGCACCTCAGTGTGATGCAAGAAATTTAGCAGATTTCTGTTCCTGTACTGGTCCCAGAGCCTCAGTGCTGCTGAGGTACTCGATATCATTCGGCATTTTCGTAGGGATCGCATCGTACTATGTGCTGGGTGGTGTTCTTTGGCTGGCGGAGGCTCTGGACGCTTGCTAACCAGTGCGCAGATGATAACTTGCACATCTCTTGTTGCAGTTTTCTTATCATTTCTTACCTTTGTTGATGCAGTTTTGACACGGGTTGAAATGGGATCCGAGTGTGTCAGATCTCGCTCATTTGAGTGCTTTCTTTATCGCTGCAAAGGTGTCCTCACCAGGAGGCAAGCCAGTGCAGCCGAGGCAAGGGGACTTGCAATTGAGAAGGAGCTACCAAAATGCCGCGCACCACCAAATTTCAGATCTGATCAATTCGTGTAACACAAAGCGGAAGTTTCTGAGAGGTTTTTGGCTGCAGATGATGATGAACTAATTCCAGAGGCATCATTTGGACAGTGCAAAGCAAGCAAAGGAGTTTTATTACTGTACCTCTTTGTGGTTCTAGTTGACTTTCATTGAGCGGGCTTTGGCTCTCCTCAGGCACCATGAGTTGTGGATCTTTTTCTTGTGGAGTGTCCAAACACCCTGCGGAGGGTGAGGATGGCACACAACATGTGCACCATCCTGCATTTCTGAGGTCTCAAACATGTCTGTCCCAAACGCAAGTATAATGAAACAGCTTGAATCCAACATGTGATCCCAAGATTGCTTGGACGGACTCAAAGAAGCTCAATGTATCAGTTGGATCGCTGATTAAGAATCAATGTCAAGCAAATCATAGGGCTTGACGTGCATGCAGGCTTTCCCGGTTTAGTGCTTACAAATTGGTGCTTGTCAGAGCACAATGTGGGCAGAACCTTGAGAGCCATGTACAGAATGCCTTTGCAATCAAGAATCAAGAACACATGACCTTCTTAGCCCTTTGTGCAACTGCCACAACATGCAAGGAACAAAGCGTTTGCATGCTTATTTGTAAAACGTCCTATTGCAAAGGCCAGAACCGTATTTTCCCAATTTTGGTGATCAGATGCCACAGTTGGGACCCATTTGTTCGGACCCCCAGCATTATTTTCAAACGGCAAGGCTTATGTGGTCACGTTTGGAGTAAGACATGATAACATCATTTGGCATCTCTTCATCCTTAAGTGCTCCGGCATGGGAACAGCTGGTTTTGCCTTCGAGACCTCAGAAACATCTTGACCTCGCATTTGCGAGAGAGAGCTCTTGACCATCTGCGCATGGTACAAAAGACCCCACATGCATTCGTGGAAGACTCGAGCAATTCATGCCTCAGCGCATGCTGATGAAGTTGCCTTAAATTGACTTCAGCCACGCAGGTCGTTTGCTTCCCTCACCTGAACACTTGGCACTTATGGGACCGGGGCTTGGTTTGTGCAGAGTCTGCTTGAGTGATGACTTGGGTGTGGCAGTACATTTCTGCAGAACAGTTCTCAAACATGGATTCTTTGGTGGCAAACAATGTATTGGATTTGAGTTTGAGGCCCTTACTGCTGTGCTTCTTGGTCTTTTTGCAGCCACATGGTTCGAGGTTGCTTGGGCATGTCCTTTGCCCACATTTCACGTTGTTGAATATTTGAGTATACATTGTCCCTCACCTTGCATTTGTGACGATACCTCTAGGGCTGGCGAGAACTGATGATTGATTTGCTGGACCCACTTTTTGCAAGGGCCTCAAGTCCTGTGCACGGCAGATATGGGCTTCCACCAAACTGTTCCAATCGGCAGCCTCATTGTTTATGTGTTTACTTCAATCATAGGATTGAACCAATGCAAAAAATGAACTTGCTAAGGTTGTCCGAAGTGATGCAGACAAGGCCAGTGTGCGACAGGGCGGATTCTCCTTGATAGTGGATCCTTCATCAAGACGGAGTCTCACAGTCTCACCTGTGTGAGACGCTACTAGGGGCTCCTGGCCTTACTACTAGGAGCAAGGACGCTACTAGGGGCTCCTGGCATCGCTACTAGGAACAAGGACGCTACTAGTAGCGATGCCCTTTGCTCCTAGTGAAAAGGCTTGTGATTTGCGTCCGGGAGGCACTTCCTGGCAAGCAAAGGGAGACACTGAGGAGATGCTCCTGGGTAGGATGCCAAGCATTTTGGCGCCAAGCAGTGCACGCGGCTGTCAGAGCCAATTATTATTGCAAGCATTGCAGCATTGCATCAGAGTGTCTTCATATTTAGGCTTGCTGCCTTGTCTGTGGTGCAGTGGCCATGTGGGACATCATGTTGCACCCTGTAGAGGCAGGCAACACAGAGGTTTCAAACATTCAATCCTGGTTCAACTTTGAAGCAATTCATATCCAGTTTTGCGTGAACCGATATCAGGAGGGGCTTTTTGAACTTCCCAGCGACATGCTACATGGTTTGGATGATGGGCACGGGCGCCACAGTCACTCTGTCGTCAGCAGCTGCAGCTTGTTAGTTCACGTTTTCTTTAGCACCACTCAGGTTATCGGAACTGTGGGATCCAAACACAATGTTGCTCTTCCGATGGAAACCTGGCGAGGGAAGAGGACTGCCGTGGGGTGCCATGAAGCTGTTTGAAACGAGTAGAGTAGAGTAATTATATATAGCCTTTGAAAGAAGCGAGATTCCTGAGATCTGCAACGATTGAAGCAACTGCTGCTAAGGAAAGCTGTAATTATCCTGTTTCCATTTAAGATACTCGACAGACTGAACAGATGACGAGATGGAATACAGAATAAGAAGAGAAAGAGACTGAACAGATGAATACAGAATAACAAGCGAGAGAGAGAGAGAGAGAAAGAGACCAGTTCCGGATTAAGAGATATTCGCGCTCCAACTCTGACCAGATGAAACTGCGCTACTATTTGCGGCTGCTGAGACATTGGGCACCGAACCACTGAGCCTCAAAAAACAGGCAGGAGCACCGTCAGTATTGTTTACAGACTTGTTTAGGCCATTGCTTTTAGCTTGAAGGCCATCGCTAGTAGGTTGGAGACCATCGCATGAGTACGGCAGTATACTGCAGTACTGTGTCTCACACAGTGAACGGGAAGAAACTCAAGGGACGCCTGGGACGATCTTTGCTTCGCCGAAGGCACTCTTTGAGGAACAGAGGCTGCTTCTTTTCAAGCATGAGGCTGGCAAGGCGACCAAAAACGCTTTTCAAATGAACAAAGAACCAGGTGACAAATAGACTGCTCCACTTTACTTGTGGGAAATCGGTTTTCTTTGCTTCCCTGACTTAGGACCGTTCAACCACACCGCACTGTCCTCAATGAGCAAAAGAACTGCCATCAGTTCGCCTCATGTCTCGCTCGAGGCCCATCCACACGAAGTGGAAGACGAGTGTTGCCAGCCCCCAGGACCGTGCTGCCGACCCAAGTCCATTCAATCTACTGTAGCCAGTAGAGTGGCATAACATCCAAGAGTGCAAGATGGTGCAAGTAGACACATGAATCTGCCTAGTATCACATCAACATTAAGGGAGTGAGTGTACCCTTCAGTTTCTGCTTCTTGAACCTGGTCGCATTCGCTTGGCCCTTTTTGGCTTGCCTTGGTTGGCATTGCGTTGGCTTACCAAGTTATTCGGGTTCGGTTCAGTGTGGTCGATATTTTGACCCGCATCATGCATTGACTCGCTGCACGTCGACATGCAAGTTTGGTGTTTATATAAATAATTTGCATTTTCTCATGTCACTCGTCTCAAAAAGCGAGAGCCACGGACAACACGTCACTGGTCGAACCCGAATGTCTTGCCGAAGCACTACTTTGGCAGGGCGAACTAGCCAAGATCGTTGACTCCAGCTTCCCAGCTGTACTGAACGTTACTCTGTGCAATCCCAAGTTGAGCTGACGTGAGGGATTGGACTTGTAGAGGACGGTTTTCTTGCCTTTGACGGCAAAGAAGACTTGTTCCCTTCAGGGAGCAATTGGGTATTCATGCCGCGAACAATGAAGCCCTTCCAGCATTCGAGGTGCCTTCACGTTCATGCTCACACAGAGGTGGCCAAGGTTCAGGCTGGCAGTCGCATTCACGCAATCCAAATCAATGAGTCAAATTCTGCTTGCCAAGTCTTTCACATGCAGATTTAGGCTCGAAAAAGTGGAGAGGAGGCCGCTGGATTTCTACATTTGTGTAGCCATTGAATTGTTTCTTGGCAGCCTTGGCAAGCGCTCGATCCTGCACAGGCCGAGGAGCCAAAAGAGACGCCTTCTCCTTATCCTCTCCCTGCTGAATTCTTAGAGGCAAGCTTTTGTTCTTTTCTTATCGTCTCCTTTTGCTACTAGGAGCAAAGGGCATCGCTACTAGGAGCAAGGACGCTACTAGTAGCTCCTGGCCTTACTACTAGGAGCAAGAAGCTACTAGTAGCTTTTGTCCTTATCATCTGCACCTTGCCCCTGTGAGATTGTTGGACCCTCTGCGGATGCACGAGAGGCGTACTTCGCTGGTGGATTGCTGAGTCCAGACACAAAGACCAAGCATTTTACGATTAAGAGTGATGTCACATTGCCGGGCAAGGTTGCAAGTGGTGGACGGATACCCTAGATTCCTTTTATGGCCATCCTGTTGGAAGCCTAGTTGTTTGCCCTCTCAAGAATTTATTGAGATCGTTCTTTTTTGGCTTCCAAGATTTGCTTTACAGGATAACATGACAGACGACGAACATCATTCTTCGGCGGATTCCGCAGACCAACCAGCTGTAGATGCAGATGCGGAGGCAGAGTTTGATGCTGCTAGTGTGTCTTCCATTGCTGCTCTGACTCCCTCTCCCTGTTTGTTTTGTCATCTCCGGCAAAGGGGCTGGAAGTTTTCGCCAAGGATTTACCGTGTGCATCCGTTTGCCGTGTGGAGTGTAGTGGTTACTTGTGATGTGGCGTGTAGTGATTTCTGATGTGATAATGACCAGAGTCTAAGCATGTCTAAACATTAATTCTCAACTTCGTTTAAGTAAAGATACATATATATATATAGCTGCAGCTGTACTGCTGTGCTACACACATTTCCCCAGATAGCCAGATAGCGACAGCTATTGGGGTTTTTACTTCAAGTGTAGGAAGAGGTGCCCGTGTGCGCTTTCGAGCCAGGGTGTTGGTGCCGCCAGAGAAAGTGCCGCTGCCAGATGTGTATGACCGCGTGCGCTTTGGCAGGGTGGCGGTGGGTGCTTGAGGGTGCTGCTGCTGCGAGATGTTTGTGGTCGTGTGCGCTTTGGAGCCTGGGTGCTAGCGCTGCTGCAAGGTGCTGCTACCAGAGGTTGATGTCAGCATGCGCTTTGGAGGCTGGGTGCTGGTGCAGCTGCAGGGTGCCGCTGCAGGGCGCTGCCCGCATTTTTTTTGGTTGCCTGCAGCTTAGCTGGCATCATAATTGCTCAAGTCCCCAGAAATATATACTTATCGTTGGCTTTCTCAGAACAATGTTTTTGTTCTTGTGTAGACAGCTGTGCTTTTCTGTTTTAGAGACCTCAGCGGCTCTACGCCGAAGCCTCTATTTTCTTTGTATCTTTGTGCACTTGTGTCTACAAATTCATTGTGATTGTGTGTAAACATGTGCAGTACTTTTTTGTATGTTTTTTCTCTAATGGTTAGTAGTCTTTGCCTTCTTGTACTTCTCTACATTTTGAACAAATCTCTATATCTATATATATACGATGCTGGCCTGATCCACTTAGCTCAGATTTTCGAACTTGGTGCCGGACGCACTTTAGCTTCGTGGGATGTTCCACTTGTTTAGGTCGCTTTTCACTTGCATGAAGGAAGCTCGCTTCCCATGGGGATTTCTGTTTGTACATAGGTCTGTGAGCCTAGTACATCACCGGGCCCGTCTCACGAGTTACCCTGGTGCGCGTGGTGAGATATATATATACATATACTTGGTTTTACTATTCTCTGCAAACTTTTGCCACTTTTTGAGGGAAGTGTTTACTTTTCTTATAGGGATTGGAGTCTCCTCTGCGAAATCAGGGTGCTTAGGTACCCTGAAAAGATCTGAAAAGCGTGTTTTGTTATCTAATCTTTGTCGGTTAAGTTGGAGGCTTGTAAGTAGACACCTTGCAGTTTCTCGATTTTATAGAAGATAGATGTTTGTTCAAGTTCGGTTCTATAGAAGAGCTGTAGTCATGGTGAGGTGGATCTTGGTATCTCAATTCTTTGGAGAACTGTTGGCATTATTTTGCATGTCAGGGACACGTACAAAGACTGCGCACAAACCTCCAGCGCAGACCAGTAAAGAAAAACGAGTTTGCAGCCCTTGGACGACTTGGGGAAGGGGAAATGGGGCACCATTGGACAATAAATCCGCAGTCCCTTTGCTCTCCATGAAGATCCTTCTTTTCACTATAAATATGTGAATGGACGCCTTCCTGGACATGGAGTTTCTCTTTTTTGTTTTCTTTTCAAAAGTTGGCTCCAGTACCCTGTGCCTCAATTCTATACCCATTGTTCTACTCCTCTAAAGAAACACCAGTTTGACGGTACCTGCAGGACCACCATTTTACTAATTAACCAACATCTTCACTGTTCACCTTTTTTCTAGAGGCTGATGACCCTCCTTTCTATAGAGCTGACGCCAGCTGACACCTTGTTTCTGGACTATTGACAGCATTTTTATTGAGACCATTTTTAGGAGTTTGGCCACCGCTGGCTTTCAATTCGCTACTCCCGACCTACCCACTTGATACCAATCCCTATTTTTTTTTATCCTTTCCAGGACACACGTAGGTGAATCCACAAAAGATTCTGCCAATCAGCTACAACTATACGGTGTTTAAAAGTTTTTTTAAAACAAATTTCGCGGTTCCTAGTTCTGCACCTGCTAAATTTTGCGCTCGTTTTGCGGTTGTTTACGGACCTTTACTTTTCTTAACGGTCTTTTTCGCGGCTCGTGGTTTCACAGCTGCTCATTTTGCGTCTTTTTTTTGCGGTTGTTGATGCTCTTTTTAACGGTTCCTGGCTCCACACATTTTGCGCTTGTTTGACGATGTTTTACGGTTCTCAATTTGTTTGAGAACTCACGCTGCAGGTATAGTGTCCATCAGTGGCCGATAATCCAACATGATGCACGACCTCGAAATCAAGTTCCATGAGCTTGGCGCAATTTTTCGTCACGCGTCAGAACTGAACCTGATCAGCGTTCATCTGAGCAGATAGCCGACGCCAGCTCGTAGGGTACGCCGTCAAGACAAGTTGCAAAGGAGTCCTAACGTTTCGGCGAGAAAAATCGGTCACCTCAATGACAAAAAGCAAACGTGAAACAACAAGGCCAGGACTGGACGACTGCATTGATCTTGCGAGCGCTTCTCCTATACACCAAGTGTAGTTGAACTACTTTGCAAACAAGTGGTCGCTAATGTCTTTTTTCAGGAAGTTTTTAAATCAACAGTACATCAGCCCCGCGTGTGTCTGGATCAATCTCGAACCCCTACAGCTGTATGCTGTCAAGGAGTCAGCGCCGTGTGGAAGGATGTAGAAGCCAACGTCTTGCAACCGTCGGATGCATTCTTTTCTCGTGTGGTGACAATACAAAAACAACAACAACGTTTAAGAACCGCTTCAATCATCGTAAAGCGAGCGCAATATGAGAAGGAGTGGAATCAGGAACCGTAAAGAAACCGCAACACATCATAGAAACAATCAATATGTCAAAAAAACGTGCGCATCCTCTCAAAACTGTCAGATGCATTCTTTTCTCATGTGGTGACATCAGTTCTACGGGTCATGATTTTTTATCCGTGATCGGGTCATGTCTGTTTTATCCGTGATCGGGTCATGAGTTATTTGTTTGTGAAACGCAATTTTGGTTATAGTTTGGAAAGCCTATTTTCTGTCAATGATCGAACTATATATTTTTATCGTGGTTACAATGGCGTCTCTTTCCAGGACATTTGCTTCTCTATACTTGTCTCTATAAATGCTTACTCTGCTGTACTTACGAAACTTTAGCCTTCGGTACGTTGCTTTCAAAAACAAGAAAAACAAGCTTTCTTTGCTCGAGAAGATTCTACCTTTCCTTAGTTTCCTCCAGATTTTAGATATATACCTCTTCTAAATTCTTCTCTGGAAGTCTTCTTTTCCTTTGAGTTCTTCCTCAGATTCCTCCACGTTCCTCTGCGTCTCACTCCCCGATAGAATTGGGAGTCCGAAGCATCCCAACCCAGACCCGATGCAGTCCATTCCCCAATGAAATTGCGCAATCATGAAACCCTGGCCACGGCCATGGGGTACAATGTACAAGACCCGCAACCGAACATCAACATGGGCATTCCATGCAAATGCTTGCAAAGTGTTTTTTACTTTCACGCCATACAAGTGCGTTCTCCGACATGCATTCGTCGTCGTCGTCGTCGTCGTCGTCGTCGTCGTCGTCACCGCGGCGGCTGCTGCTGCTGCTGCTACTACTGCGGCTACTGTTTCCTTTTCTTTCGTAACTTGGAAGTTGCTGTTTAGCCCGAGCTGCTTTTGGCACTTGGCAATGTGGCAAGATAGTCTTCGCACACTGCAGGGTGCTGACCTGGCCTGAGCGGCGAGATAAGACCGTTCTATTTGGCCTGAGTGAGAGAAGCAGACCCACGTGGCAGACTCAATTTTTAGCAAATTCTTGCGCCAACGGCATCTATGATGCATGCGCAGAAGGTGTTAGGCACATTTGGATGCCTGTCTTTCTCCACAGGCGCTGTCCCGAGGTCCCGCCAGTTGTCTCAGCTTGGCCCGATGGCTGACCGTTTCGATTAAACACTTGGTTTGTTGACTTGACATTGTTTCTGCAGCATTTTTGTACAAACATCTCAGAACACTCTGGCAGCTTGAGTGGCCATGTAATCTTGAGCTGTGAAGACGCAGATGAGGTAGATCAAGACGGAAGTGAATGGTTTGCCATCGCAAATGGGGTTCTTTTAGGAAACAGTTATTCCGCAATGTCAAACTTTCTTTGATTTACCTCATTGCGGCAAAGGCCTATGGCAATTTGACAGGAGGACATACTCGCAGCCGTGGTGAAAGACATGGGCGCATAAGCTGCATGTTGTATTGTGGTTAAAGAAAGTCAAAATACCAGGATCAAGAAACAAAAACACAGGATCGAACCAACGTATGGAACGAAGCAGAATTGAGCAACAAGACTCCTGGCCTAGTCTTTTAATTGCCACTCTTCACCTCGTGTTCTCATCGTTCCATCTCGGTCTCTGGCTCCTTCTGTTGTAACCATTGGCGTAATTGTCCAACGTGGCCGCCTTTTTGTGTGCGCAACCTTTCATTCTCTCGTACTGTATACAAATCTTTTTGATGTTCTCCGCTTATTTCCTTAATCATTTTTTCGTTGCTAATGTCCGATCCCAATTCGTAAAATGGGGAGCATATTTTAAACATATACATTTTTTTGCACAAGTATTCGCACACCCTGAATAGTTGATATAGTGGGTGAGAACGCTAAGAGTTTTTTGCCCTTTCTGAACTCTTCTGATGTTTGCTTGGTCTATGGACATCATACCTGAAAACCATGTGCAAAGCCCTTATCAAAACTCAATCAACTTGGTTGCTCCAAACAACTTGTCAAAAGGGTAGCACACAAGCCCAGGAAAGTATTCGTGGAGCCCTAGAAAAAGTATTCAAGCTTACCAGCTTACTGCTGCTGCTGCTACTACTACTACTGCTGCTGCTGCTGCTGCTCCTGCTGCTGCGACTGCTCCTCCTACTCCTACTCCTACTCCCACTCCCACTCCCACCACCACCACCACGACGACGACTACTACTATCAGACCTCCATCCTCGCAAAAATAGAGCTCGTCACTGTTATCTCTCAGTATATTTTCAATAAATGTAGAACTTCATCAGGGCCCATTTTGAGTTGGACTGCAGAAAAATGGCAATAAGGAATGCCTCCAACATAAAGAGGGTTTTTGCTGCATAGATGTTTCTGTATTGAATTGGTTTTGTGTTAGGGCGACATTGACGGGACGCTTTAGGCCTGCCTAGATGGACCCCACTATTTTCACAACATCAGGCATCATGGTGGGTTTGAGAGAAGAGAAACAAGAAGTCTATCAAGTCATGGATGATTTAAGAGCCGCCAATGTTGATTTCATGACCATTGGTCAATATCTTCAACCCACCCCCAAACATCATCATGTGGATCGCTTTGTGACCCCGGATGGTTCAACTCCTATGCAGAGATGGTAAAGGGAAAGGCTTTTTAGTCATTCGCCTCTGGCGCGATCCTCTTATCATGCGGACGCTGATAGTAGTCGTCGTCATCGTCGTCGTCGTCGTCGTAGTCCTCATCGTAGTAGTACTAGTAGTAGTAGTAGTAGTAGTCGTAGTCGTAGTCGTAGTGGTAGTAGTAGTCGTAGTGGTAGTGGTAGTGTTAGTCGTAGTGGTAGTGGTAGTAGTGGTAGTCGTTTCTTTTTTTTTTGTGGGCTTGACTCTATTCAGTCTCCCTGAGCCTCAATTGTTTGCTGCTAGGGCCACTGGCTTCGCCATTCAAGATCGATCACTGCACTTTCTTTAGGTTGTCAACGCAAGATTGGCTGACAGGCACTGCGCATGGCATGTGTGGAACTAACCCAAGCCATGAAACTCTGAAACCCGAACATCCGGTAAACACGCCTGCGCTTCACGTCCGACCATCGCTGCCTGTCATTTCAGATGTTTTCTTGTCTTTTTTTCATCTCCTTGAACATCCCTTGATTTTCCTTTCATTTGCTTGCAAATCTCTTCATGCTCTCTTCATGTCCTCAGGCCTGGATTTTTGTGTGATTTTCTTGTCGTTTCCTTCCAAACCATTGCATTTTCCTGCCCTTTCGATTGCCTTTCATTTTTTGTTCTTTTGGTTGCCAGGTCCTTTCGTCGCCCTGCTCCTGCTGTTCACTCTTCTTGTCATGTCCTTGAAGGTCCTTCATTTTCCCTTGGTTTCCACATTCCTTGAAGTTTTTTTCATTTTCTTGTCATTTCCTTGACAGCCCTTCATTTTCCTTTCATTGTGAACTCTTTTTGTTCCACTAATACCTATCTGTGGTTTGCCCCCAGAGCCCCATCATAGCATACAGCCGAAGCGGTAGTGGAATCAGAAAGAAAGTCAGAGAGAACCAAAGAATTGGCCATCCTTTTCATAGACAAGACTCGACTATTATTTTCCGGCTCAGGTGGGAAACATGGGGAGGGTCCAGGCAAACCAACTTGATTGCGAAATGCCTGGCAAATGCTCCACTTTTACATCCAAACAGTCAACCACTGCAGCCGCCTCTAATCACAGCCGTGAGACTATTGTATGATGACAATCACCCGAAACAACAATAATAGCAGTTTTGTAGCGGCTTGATGTGAACAGGAGATATGTATAGATATGTAATTGCCAGTTTGATAAACACTGAATCCCGTCTACAAAATACCAACATTGGCTCGCATGTACGCATCTATCCAAAAGCATCATTTAGTCTCTTTGGAAAGTACAATCATCGCATATGCCAAACAGCTCATTGATGCCACCTCGAAAGCCAAAGCGCAGTGCACCTTGGCAAAACAGCATCAACAGACTGAGAAAACAGGGGAGATAGAAGCAGTGTTTGAAACATGCCTGCCGCTTGCACTTGAAAACACACATCAAGGTGTCTGCGGAAGATGTGCGAGGCACCGGGAACAGTTTGAGGCGTTGATTTGTTCGATCTGATGGACGTCGATCTTTTTCTGCGAAGGCAAGAAAGAGCTGTCTGGGACTTAGAAGAGTAGAATGAGCGTCCAGCAGCCTGCGGCATTCTCTACTGTTTGGCTGGTTCGACCTGACATCCAAGGAAGGTAGCAGAGGAGGCTTCTGCTCCAATTGCATCACAGCCTGTAACTTCAGAGAAACCAGAATCAGGACCCAATCACTGTCCTCTTTTGGAGGCGAACTGCAGCTTAACTTCTGCAGTGCAGGAACTTCCAAAGAAGATGCTCCTGCTGAAGAAGCTCCTAAAACTGAAAGTCCTTCCAAGAACCGACATGCAACTCAGGACTTCGCTGGCTTTTCATATGTTTTCATCCATTCCCGCGAATCCCACTGCTCCCAGGAGGCATAGGTATCAAAAAAAATAAAACGAGCATCAACAAAAAATAAAAAGAGGATCAACAACAAAAAAAAGCGAGTCAACAAAGAAAACATATATTCCTTGATAGGCCTCTTCTGCTGCTCTCCTGGCCCTGTGGTCTGCGGGTCCTCTGGTAATAAGGTCCCTTGGTCCTTTGGTCCCTTGGTCCTTTGGTCGACTGGTCCTTTGGTCCTTTGGTCCCCTGGTCCCTTGGTCCTTTGGTCCACTGGTCCCCTAGTCCTCCGGTCTCCTGGTCCTGTGGTCCGCTGGTCCCCTGGTATCCTGGTCCTTCTGTCTCCTGGTCCGCTGGTCTCTTGCTCTCCTACTCCGCTCGTCTTTCCGTCTCCTGGTCCCCTGCTTGCGCAAATAGAGGCTTGATTGCTTTCTATTAGAGGCAGCTCTGTGGGAGGAAAGTAGGTACCCAATGATGGTAGCCGTCCAGTCATTGAGTAGCCCTACTCGAACAATGGTTCACCAGTAGAAATAGCTCCCTACTAGGAAGGAGCTCCTAGGGAGGTACACTCTCCTGGTCCCCTACTCCTTCCATCCTCTTCCCTTGGTCTCCTAATCCTGCTACTGCTACTGCTACTGCTACTACTACTACTACTGCTACTACTGCTACTGCTACTGCTACTGCTACTACTACTACTACTGCTACTGCTACTGCTACTACTGCTACTACTACTACCCCAACCATCCTCAGTGGGCTAGAATATAGGTTTTTTGATTACCTTTTCTTTTTTATTGATCCCCATTGTTTTTTTGATTCTATTTTTTTTGATCCCTTACCCCTCCCAGGAGCTGGTTGAAGACGTTGTCATTGGATACACGGGCGATGACGATGACGATCCGCCACAGGCATCCCTGCACCCTGCGCTATTGTTCAGCAAACCACACTACAGAAAGCATTCTTTCTCAGGCTGGTCAAGCAGTGGCACGTCATGCCAGGGACATTAAGCAGATGGTTTCTGATGGTCTGGACGTACCAATTGCCAAGGTCGAGACCCCTTGTTTTGGGGAACTCCAGGGTTGTGGATTGAAAGCCTCTCATTGTGCAGGACCAGCGATCAGCTTATGTTTGGGTTGCTGCAGCCAGAATGATAGACAAAGGAGCCAAGAAGTTCCACCGACAGAAGCAGATTCCAATGTTTGTTGAGTTGGATTTAGCTCGCTTTGGACATTCTAGCAGTCTGCATGTCGTTGATAGAGAGAAACAGCTTGCTGCTGTAGTGTGGTTCGAGGAGAACGAGCAGATGGAAGTCAAGAACCGCGGAAGAAGAAATACACCTGGACACTTGAAGACTTTATGTTTTTCAGGCCTTTGGTTTATGTTTGAGGGCATGGTTCTATGTTTCCACGCATGCTAGCAGTTTATTGGACGCTTTCAGAAGATTGTGCGAAACCGCTGAGCAAGCACATGCGCAGTTACCAAGGAACCTTGATGAAATGGCTCCTGCTGGTATTGAGTGTAGCTGTGATATTTGTGGTCAGGGAGTTTCAGAGGTGCATGAGATGTGTGCTGGTACTTTTAAACAGCACTCAGATTTTTTGTTGACTTTTAAACTTCCATACTTTCCCGGTTGACTTTTCAATCATCTTTTTTTCTCATCACAAGAAAAACGGCTCTGAAGGACGGCGTGCTTTACGAGTTCAGATGCTACCCACGGCTAAGACGTGATGAACCCCGCCCCGCAGGGGGGAGACGGCTTCATCCCTTTGTCAGCCTGCGGCTCAGGGACTGCAATGTTCGCATTTTTCCGATGCGCAAGTACTGAGCCTGAGGCTACATGGGAAAGGAGTGTGGGAAAGGACTTCTTGGTGGGAATGTGCAGAATGCCAGCTTTTGTGTTGTTTCCAAAGTGTCGGAGCGGCTCCATGTTTGAAGCGCGCATGGAGACGCGATGGAAGGCCTTGCAACCGGAGCATCGAAGCTGAGAGAACGCTCCTGACTTGGAATTAGTAGAAGCAAAAACACTGGAAGACTCATCAATGGCAACAATCAGTCGAACGGAATGTACTCAAAGACTCAAAGGTGTATATCGCCTTCTCATAGAAGCAGATGGCTTGGCAGCCATGGAAGAGCTTGAGGCCGGGGTGATACAGCGTGCACCACTGAAACAGAATCATGTCGTAAAAACGGACAGGACGTATGGCGCAATGGAAGTGACACCATGCGGCAGGTAAAGGCCTCAGTGACATTTTCTCTTTTACACACATTGGTGCATGAGACGATAGTTTAATTTGGCCACAGACATGGCAGTTTGCAAGAACCCATCAGCATCCTATGCTCAAGAGTCAGCACTGCAGAGTCATGGAGTCCCCAAGTGGAAGGCCCCGAAAGCGTCACGGGACCGCTCCATTTCCACTCAAATCTGCATCAGCAACTTCTGACAAGATACCCATCAACAGCTTTGCGCCCTTATTATGCAGGAATGATTCAACTGGATTGACCAGCACAGCGCTGTGCTGGTGCCCATTCGGCCATTTCTTCAGTTCTTCAGTTCGACCTTTGCTCTTTTGGAAAGTATTGTTCAAAGAAACAACTATTCACGTACTTGCGTGTGTGCAGGCAAAACACAAGTGCAGAAGTTGAGCAAGAAACATTGGATTTAAGGCAGGTCAAAGAAGCAGATACAGGCAGGGTTGATTGCCTCCAGTGGCTTCAGGTTGCCTCAACCAGCCTGTAAGCATCACAACTGAGGTGCTCGTGACTTTACCCATGAAGATTTGGATGCACTTGAGTTCACTTGGACGATCGTTGACGGCCGACTGCTAGTCAGGTGCTTTGGTCCGGCAACCCTTCTGATGTCAACTGTGCTCTTTGACTACTGAGGCGCTCGACAGGTTCATTCCTTCTCATCCCGGTGGACCGCTCATCAATCGAGCTGTGGGAAGAGATTCCAGCGATCTTTTTCATGCTCACCACACTTCTGAAATGGCACGGGCTGTTTTGGCCAAATGCTTTGTCGGCTATGTCAAGTCTACTCAGGCGCAGGGCTGTCAGGAAGGAAGACCGTGCTGGAATTGTTTGCGAAAGAAAGAACGTGTTTGAGAAAGAGAATAGAAAGGTTGGAACAGGAGGAGGGAGCACATAAATTGATACACAGTGATACACCGGAGAAGGGCTGAAACAGATGCATTTGGATGGATGGATTGATAGGTGCGTGGTTAGATAGGTGGACGTTTTGATAACTAGTTGTTGTTTTGTTTATTGCAATGCACCCTTGTCCCGCCATGCGTCAGGCTTCTAATTGCCGCATTCGAACTGAGCTCAATAAGCGGTTGGAAGCGTATATCAAGACAGCGAAGACCGGCACCCCATGGGCTGAGGCCAAACACACACAAAACTGAGTAAGGTTTTGCAGTGTTAGAGCTGAAGAGAAACACATATTGCCGAAAGTCTGTGAAACTGCCAGGTTATAGCCTTTTCAATGCTGAGCTTATTTTCTATTTGGACCTACTTTGTTTACGTGCAAGGCTCCATGTTTGCACGAGGGGGAGAGTAGTTTGAGCATTTTGCACAAAAGATGTCAGTAAGATGTCCTTCACCATAAAGACATTCCTGTAGAAAAGAACATTTTTCCACAACAGCACACCTTTGACGAGAGCACTCCTCACTATTAAGGGCTAATGATGTCCAAGATCTATGGCCTACAGCAACCCACTGCGAGTCTGCGTGCGAGGATACTTTTGGCTGAACATATTGAGTAGCTGGTTCTGGTGGAGGCATTTGGATGCAGGGTTGCACAGTGCCACACAGCTGCACATTAAGAGTGAACTGCTTCCCTTGTCTCTAAATGCCAGGAACATAGGACTTCATTTTCATTCGTGTCACTATTTGTCTCCGGGATGACTTTGCCAATGACACAAACACACATGTCAGGGTTGTTCCTTTGCAGGTCGTGCACGGGGACTTTCGTTATTCTGAAACTTTGCACAGGGGATTGTATCGAGCCTATAGCTTGCTCTGCCACCACATGTTGGACCACTATGAAGGCTCGTCATGCACTATGCACTGCTGGAAAGCTATATGTACTGTGCATACATATACTAATTCTTAATTACTAGATCTTGTTTCTACTAGCTTCTAGTTACTACTAGTAAGGCACTTGTTACTAGTAGCGATGCACTTGTTCCTAGTAGCTTATTGTTTCTAATTAAACTATATATACTGTATATGTAAATACACACATGAAGTTGCAAGTTGTGTATAATTACAAAGTTTGACAGGCAATCCATTGAGCCTATCCCAGCACTTTGAGCACCATCTTTACACCAATGACTTTCGCAAAGATCCTGATTGGACAGTTTTTGCTGTTGGGCGGAATTGGATTCGGCGTCATGCATGCAATGCATGGCAGCCCTACAATGCCTGGCAGGCAGAGCACTGAAGTCTCATGCACTGTTTTAGATTTTAGCTTTCAGATTGAAGCGTCACCTATTCAAATGCTGGAGGTTTTCTACTGGCTTCCAGTTCGCTGTTTGCTGGAACCTGTAACTGAATCTTGATGGCAGATACCAGCAGATATTCACAACCCTATTCTAGTGAGTCTCTCGTGTTTTTCTTTCTAAGCCCAGGAGATTCTAACGATGCTTGCGACTTGCATGAATGGAGCCTCACAGGTTGGTCGGAGTTATTCAAAGTTCAGAGTTCACTTGCTTGATTTTTAAGAACCTTCCTTGCTTCCTTGCTTCTCTTTCTATTTAGACCTTTAGATATTTTTTATCTCTTCGGTCTTATTTTCTTTCATGTTCCAATTCCTGCAGGTCTTTGAAGCTCCTGCAGGTCTTGAGAAGTTCACTGCCAGAGTAGAGGATGTAGTTTCCTGGTGGTTCGAGGCTGGAAAAGTGATGTACTTAGACTATCTTCGACTTGGACTTAGACTTAGAATCGCTGTCGACTTAAGTGCGGACATTTGGCGCACTTGGCGAGGCCTTTGTGAGTCCGGGCTTCCAGGGTGCAGCCTTTCTTTTCCAGCTACTTGTCCAAGAACGGCATGCGAACGCGAACTGACTGGCTCTGTTTCTTTTTTTTAAAGATACCCCGTTTTGTTAATTCTCTTTCCGAGGCCATGGCAGCAAGCCCTGTCAGCGCTGATCCTCAGTAGAGCAATTGCCAAGTTGGTGCTGCTACCTTTTGCAGAGGAGCGAGCTTTTACTTTTTTGGCGCATAAAGAGCGATAGGATAATTGCTGAATTTGTCAGGTTCAACACTTCTTAATGCCCTTGCCTTAGCATCTCTTCAGAGTGGCGATGGAGCCACTTATACTTTGTGTTCAAAGTCTGCAAAGGCCAGACGAGAGCTTCCAGGATGAGGAACCATGTTTCAATGGCCATTTGTTTGCACTTCCCAGTGAGTAACTGTAGTTTCTATGTAATTGATGGCTTCATTCTTTTTTCAGGAGTTCGTCTTGCGGCAGCTCCGGACGACTGCCAATTTACGGCTCAGTAATCCCGTGGTTCGCTTGCTGGACTTTTTAATGTGAAATCCTTGGTGACCCCTGGAGCGAAAGCTCTCCTTGTCACAAAGAGTCAGGTTTCATGGCGACAGTCTGCAGGCAGGAATGAGTTCTGTGGAGTGACAGCGGGAGTAGTGCATCAATCAAATGAGGTCGAACATCACCTGTGGCCTGCCATGAGCTTTGTCCACTTGCGGCAAGCCTCGCAGATCCTGAAAAATACGTGCCAAGAGTTTCTCAGCGAAAGCGAGGCCTAAGGATGCCAAAGGTACCAGTTGTGCAAGTGTCCGAGATTAGCCAAGGCTGGGTTTGCCATACCATGAAATTGGCTTCTGGGAAGCATACTACAAGGTGTGCTGTTGCACCCTGTTGCAATGTTGCAGCAATGATGCTGTTGACCTCCTCGTCACTTGCTCGTGAAGGTCTGGGAGCAAGTGAAGGTGCACTCTGAACAACCTGAGTGACCTTGAGTGATTGCTGAGCTTTGTACATAGATGTTTGAGCGATGGTGAAACAATGCAGCAGTTCTTCTGGAGTGCTAGAAACTTTGCTTCATTGATGGGATTCTTTTTGTGCGTTTTTACCGGTAATTATGGTTGACAAGCCGTGTGCGCTAAGATCCTTGCAGATGAACTTCGCTTCCTTTCCAGAGCAGAGGCACAAAAACAAGAAGACAAGAAATCCGATCTTTCCAAACTTCGACTGTGAATTCCTCTGATTTTGGCCAGGCCGGTATGCCCCGTCGAGCTGCTGAGCTGAGAAAAGCTGAACAACTCCATGGGGATGTTTACAAAGAGCGGGAGGAGCCATCGAAACCACCGCGGGAAGCGCGTCACAGGTCACAGCAACGAAGCAAGTCTCGCATCAAGTTGGTCCATGTCTGTCCCCATTCGCTGGTCCCACGTAATTCTGTGAGGTTTTGTCTCGATTCGGATAGCCCTGGATGGAAGAGTCAGCTGTTTTTGTGCGTTGGAACAGTTCAGTGAGCAGGATGTGTTTCGGGCTGCGGCACGTGCGACGGGGCCAGTGCTCAATGCCAGAGATTTGGCGTCTGTGACGATCACCTATGCTGAAGACCAGGACGGAGCACAGCTGGCTTGTGCTGTTCTCACAAGTTTTCCCTTCGGCTTGAGGAAGAAGAAAATGTGGCGCTGCCGACAGATTCTTAGGTAGCAACCTGAAATTGACAATGTTCCAATTGATTTAGCAAGGTCTTCAAAAGGCAACTCAAGCGTGCAACGAACAAGCGGCTATTTGGGTCAGGCAGGGGACTGCCTGAGCTGAGCAGCTGATCACACTGTCCTTAGCCTTTTGGTTCAGGTAGCAGAAGCACTTCGAGAAAGAAAACCACTGCCAGCTGCACCAGTGAGCAAACCGAGTTGTGACATGTCAATGTCAAGGACTCTTTGGTGCTAAAGTGATGAACATCAATGAACTGAATTTATATCTTTGGATTCTGTTTGTACCAAATGAATGCACTTACATTGTTTTGGTAGCTGGAAAGGTACCCTGGCCTCGTGCAGATGTTGTGACTTGCCTCCAAGCCTTGGTGAATGTCTGGCCCCCAGATGTGCTTTAGTCCGCTTCTCGCCTTTCAAACACAGCCATTCAAATGGAGACTTCAAGGCATGGCATCCACTTCGGATAGAACTTCATGATTCCCTCCATGGGCGACAGGCAGAAATGATTGAACAGATTCTTCTGACCTTTTCCTTCCCTTGAACCACATAATGAAAGTAAGACCAGAACAACAGAAGCCTTTGTCAAATCTTTTGATACAGAAACAATTGGCAGAGTGCCAGTGGCCTCACTCGGATTCCCCCCGATGCGATTTGATAACGATCCTTACGAGAAGGATTTCTTAATCCGTTTGAACTATCATTTGCATTCACAGTTCATGTGTTGACGGCAAGGAATTCTACTTCGAGAAGCCATCGCATAAGCAGAAGAAACAAAAGAAAGAGAAGGACTTGAACGACTTTTTGGTGTTCATCCTGGTTGGTATGGTTTGGCCACTGCTACAGGGAAATTGAGAGCCTTGTCATTCAGACTTTTCACGGCTGCATCGCAACGGCGAGGACAAACAATCTCTCCCTATGTTAAGCCTGGTCTATCTTCCTGGCTGCCAGGCGCTGTCTCAATCTGCAAGTGACTTCTTACTTGTCTTTGTCTCTGGCCCTTGGAAGGAGCTTCATAGCATCAGTGCTCAAAGCTGCTCCCGAGAACAGTGCCAGGTGGGTCATTGATGTCTCAGATCTGCCGTTCTAAATCTGACCTGTTTGCTCAAGCCTGATTTCAAACCGTTCTTGGTTGTTGGGAGTCAAGCCTTGCTACAAGGCCTTGAAGGAGGAAAGAGATCAAGTGCTGAAACAATGCCGCGAGGCCAGTCTGCTTGAAATATCTTTCTGAGTTAACGCAATGAGAGCAGGCCTAATATTCCAAAAGATAAATGTTCTCCACCCAAACACTTACATTCCAACATATCATCGCTGACGTGCACTGGATCAAGATTCTGTTGGAATGATGATGCCCAGAATATTTTCAAAAGGTCTGCAGACACCTGATCTGCTTGGACCAGTGGGCTGGGCGACGTTCAAAGCCCGTAATACTACTGCCGAAATAGAGTATCCGTCGCTGGTTTCGACCCAAGTCATCACCAATGCATCCTTGGATGTGGATAGTTGCAAGTTAGTTTGCCATCCTGATTTGCTGCCGAAAAGATTTGAGCAGATCGATCCCTGGTGCTTGCCGATTCTACGTACTGAAGCACTTCTGCGTTTGAGCGAAGACTACATTTCCCAGACTCAGGCTTACTATGACTCAGGGTCTGTACCACCTGCAAGCTTGGATGAAGATGTGGAGTTGGAAGCCTTAAGACTTCATGGTCGAAACCCGAAGGATGCTGCAGCGTATCGAAGGGCTGCTCGGACGTTGCCCATTGAGCTGCGTTCTGACATCTTCTTCCTTCGCGCCAATGATCGGCTTTTCCATCCCCGTGCAGATGTGGGGCAGAAGAAGCTGACCGGGACTGTCCACCGAATTCATTCCAGCGACGTCCGAGAAGCTGGATTGGAAGAGATGCTCGACATCCCACGAGCTTTGCTTGTGGCTTCAACGTCATCCTGACCTCCGTTTGTTGCAAAGCTATCTGAAGGAAAAGATGCCGAATTTCTAAAGATCCTGCAGGAATTTCGCTGTCCGGTCGTGTTCATGTATTTATGTGAAGCTCATGCTGCTGATTCCTGGCCTTTAAGTACCAATGCTCCAAGAAACCACCAATGTCTAGAAGATCGCATTTCCGCGGCAAGAACATTTCTCGAGAAATGGCAACATTTCAGAGACATACTTGATATGGTCGTGGTGGATGATATGGATGATTCTCTCACTATTTCCTTGGGCTTATGGCCAGAGCGCTTCTTGTTGCTTGAGCACGGCGTGGTACAGTGGTCTAGCTCATTCCAGGATGTTGACCCAGAAGAGACGAACAGCGTGTTACGAGACGTTGCGCTCTTTTACTAGAGCCCCTCGTAGCATAGTCATTGGCGCAGTGGCGCAACTACTCTTAGGGCTTTGTTACTTTGCTTTGAAGCACGGATGACGGATGACAGCCCACCTGAAGTTGTGGCGACTCGTTCTCCAGAGAGTGTTTACCAGAGCAAGGGCATTTTTGGCACTGTACAGATGCCATTTGCACGCCTTTGGACACAAACAGTTCTGCTCGACACTTGCTTTTCCTTTTGCAGTTTCTTACAGTTGAGCCTGCTCCATCCTCTTTTATGCATTCTTTTTTGTTGCTTTATGATGAAGCACAGGGTCCACTGAAGCGTCGCATTCTGCACCTGAGACTGGCAGGATTTTGCACCTTTGGAGGCTATCCACGGCCAAGGCAGATACTCACGAGCAGAGGACTTCCTTCCCTTCGGAGCAGGAATGGTTCAAATGAAGGTAACGGGTTTGAGGTGCATCAGGGTATCATAGGTTGTCTGAGACAAAAAACTAAATCATTTTATATCGAAATTATGATGGTGAATTGTAAGTTGTAGTCAATGTGTACTGCGGCACTTTGGCCCCAGCAAAAACCTCATGGTGCGCTGAAAGCCAAGACGTGGCCATGCAGTGGCTTTTGTGCGGCTCGGCAAAGGATAGAGCTACAGCAACATTCCCAAGAGTCGCTGCGTGGCATTGTTTCTGGTGGTATATCCTAATCACCATCATTGATATCCAATCTTTTTATTCTTTGCAGCCCGCTCCTACTTAATTAAGTAAGCACCTACTTAACTAAGTGACGGAGTTAGCTCCTAGCTACTTAAGCTACTACCTACTGGACGCAGGATAGCGCCCGCACTAATTATTTGGTTTCTAGAATTTTATAGCGTTGCCAGTTCACGCTTTTAGCTGAAGTCTACAACAAGCCGTCAAGATGTCGATGTATGTGTTGTATCCTTTTGACATGGATCCATTCTTCCACCCTGGGTAGGTGGAGTGCTTATTCTTGGTAGTGCAGCCTGGCTGAAGTACTGTTATCGCCGAAAAGTCATGATCGACGGTACATCTCTACAAGTACCATACTGTTTGAAGAACTACTTTTGGAGCAGAATGAACGGCAAGATGTTGCTCCTGGCAGTGGATTTATCAATTGGTTGTTGATGCCATGACTCATGACCGATATGCTTGCGCACGTGACTATGCTGATGATCTTCACAAAATACAAGCTAAAACTTTCACTTCCATCTATACTATACTAGCTAAAAGCGACATGTATAATTTTGGCTCGGAGGCCATTGCTATTAGGTTGGAGGCCATCGCTATTAGGTTGGAGGCCATCGCTTCTAGGTAGGGGGGCAGAGCGGCCTTTAAAAAAAGTCCATTCATGTATAAATTTGGTCGAGTGGCGACGAGAAATTGTTTCCCGGATGATGTTAGGCCAACTTTTGGGTCTAATTGAGCCAGTGGCTGCTTGGGCACGACTCCGAGCCACTGACTTCAAGCTAATAGCAATGGCCTCCTACCATCTCCTACCTAATAGTGATGCCCTCCAACCTAAGAGCGACGACCTCCAAGCCCACATTGTTTTCTTCGTTTCGACATTTTGGCAACTTTGATGCCACGCTGGTGGCGTGTGCGCCTGTGAAGGGTCCTGTTTTGGCTTTGAGCTGGTCTAATGTCGGCCCATGTTGACTCATCCAGTGTTCTGAACCAGATCCTGCGTCAGCCAATGTCTGATTCTCCTGGTCAATTTGGCTCCATTTTGGACCGCATGTTGAATCAACATGAACCAACAAGAGCTGCCAAGAGCAAAGATGTGCAAAACTCCCGCTACTTGATGTAAAACGCACTTACAAGTCAAGAATAAAACCCGTTTTTGCATTCAATTCTGGACCCAGATGTAGGCCCCAGCAAAAAATTGGACTCCTGCCCCAGCTAAATTCTATTTTAGTGCTTGCAGTTGCTTCTGGTTCACACG